TCAACATCAGCCATCAGCAACATCATCATCAACACCATCGCAGTATTCGTCGTCAACATCGGCATCGACAACATCAGAAACATCCGCATCTCCATCACCCTCATCATATCCGTGTTCATCATCATCGTCTTCAGCATGATCATCGTCAGCCTCGTCATTATCATCATCAGCATCATCAGCATTGTCACATTCACTATGATCAGCATCATCATCAATATACTCATCAACACCACCAGATCAACATCATCATCGCCGTCGTCATCACAGCATCATGGTCATCGTCAACATCACCATCAGTCTCAATCCTGCATATCCTCGCTCCGCTCCTGCTCATCATGCTCTGCGGTCCGCGTCTCCTCTTGACTCTGATGTGCTCGTCCTGGCGATCCACCACCGCCCTCTTCCTCCTCTCCCACCTCATCCCAAGCCGCATTATGGCCACCTGGCCGCCTTCCTCCTCACCCTGCTCATCATGCCGCGCCTGCGCCGTCTGCTCCTGCTGCTCCTCCAGATTCCCATCCTCGCCATGCTCCACAACTGCCCCATCAAACTCCCGCAACGCCTGCTCGGGGGTCGCAAACAAAAAGAGTACCGACAGTCCCACTCCCTGGGTCTCTTTGGCGAATCTGGCCGTGGTGACGCGGGACCTCGAGGACGCGCAGGGCTATCAGTACTTGTTCCTCCTCTGATGCTTTTACCTGCTCCTCAAACCCCGAGCCCGCGCCTGCGAACCCCTACCCTTTTCTGCCCGTCCTGCCGCTCCCGCCCCTTACCTCCTTCATTACGTAGAGGCCTCCGCTCAAATGGGGTCCGAGTCCATAGGGTCGGGGGATCCCGTCGAATTGCCGATGCATTGCGATTCATCGGCGACGTCCGTTTGGCATTGGCGGCGCCTGCGCTCCGCATCGAGCCGCATCGGCGAGGCGCGATGCTCTGCGGCGCGCCTGGGGGGGGGAGTGACAGCGACAGGCGGCACGCCTGCTCAGAAGGCGGCGAGGCGTCCCGGCAGCCGATCGGCCTTTTGATCAGCTGTCCTGTGTCTTCGGGGGGAGGGCCTCGAGAACCTCCCAGGAGGCCCAAGGGCCTCCGAGCCTTCTGAGCAGGCGCGCCCGTCCGCACTTCCCTCCCTGGGCTCGCCGCCGCTGTACGGCGCGATCCTGCGGCCCCATCCCCTCGGACCCCATCTCAGGCGCCCAATCTTGACGAACCAACAACACACACCCATACCCATGGGGGGATCGGAGAGGGCTACGGGTGCGTGCTGTCGGGTGGGGGTCCCCGCTCGAAGGGAGCGCTCCCCGCTGGGGAACGCTCCCTTCTGGCGGGGTCCGACGACCCGCACCCATACCCATAGGCCAGTCCTCCTCCCAACGACCTCCCTATGGGTCCGCGGAATAGGAGGAGGAATAGGAGGAGGAGGAATAGGAGGAGGAGGAGGAGGAGGAGGTCGAACGCTCAGATCTTGGCGCTGCAGCTTCTTCGCAGCTTGTGTGTTGCTCGCTCGTCAAATCTCCGCGCGCTGCCGCGACAGCGCGCGCGCGCGCCCTCTGCGCGCGCCGCGGGGAGGGAGCACGGCCGCAGCTCCACGGCCCCGCGGGCTCGGGCCCCCCCTGGGCTGCGACGCGCTGAGAACGGGGCGCTCTTGGCCGACGCCCCCGCGCTGAAAAAAACGGCGCCGCACGTCTTTCACGCCAGCACTTACTGGGCCCTGGAAACGACAGGGCCGTTTTTGTTGCCGGTGCCGTTTTGCCGTTTTTTGTGGACGGTTCCGACGCCGCTTTTTTACCGGTTCCGTCGCCGTTTGTTGAGCGGCTCCGGCTCCGGTTCCAATCCTGGAGCCGTTTTTGTTGCCGTTTCCTGTGGCCGTTTTTTTCCCGTTTCCATTCTCAAGGGACACTTTTTTGGGAAACGGTGAAAAAACCGCCCTGCCGTTACCGTGGCCCACAAAGACCTGGGCTGCGACCAGATGAGAACGGGGCGTTCTTGGCCAACGCCCCGCGCGGAGACCTGAGACGACGGCGCCACATTTCTTTCACGCCAGCAGTCTTTTCGCGCGGCTTCGAGCCGGCACGAACCACGCCGCAGAAAGGTGAGGTCCAGCGCTCGGGTCCTGATTCGTTCGCGATGTCGCATTTTTTTTCGGAACGTCGGGCCTCCAGGAACGCTCCGTGCGACTGCGTATCCGTAGGATCGCGCCCCAGTCCAGACCGCGTGAGCGTGGAGATGCTGGCACGCACGAAACTAGTACTCAACAGAAGATATTGCCAACAATCGACAGAGGTCGCTGTTGGGCAAGCGCGACGTCCGCGGCGACGCCGACAGCGACCCCTGTACGAAATGGGCAGGACCTACGGTCAGTCTTTGCATCCACCGTTTCAGCATTCATCTCGGTCGCCGCCCGACAGCGAGCCCTGTTCAACATTGGCAGGAGCTGCTGCCGGTCTTTGCACCCATTGTTTCAGCATCAACCTCGATTGTGCCGAACATGGGCATGCTCGCTCGCCGCCCGACAGCGGATCCGGTTCCAAATGGGCAGGAACTGCAATCGGTCGTTGAACCACTTCTTTTGGTACTCATGTCGAGCGTACTGGCAATCTGTCAAAAAGAGGGGGTCGAACGGTCATTCAGTGTCTCCGGGTGCGTGGCTGAAGTTGGACACCGCGGCGCGAAGTCTGCTTAATGTTGTTGCGTTGTTGTTGTCGTCCTCACCCGCGATCCGCCCGCGATCCGCGCGTGACCCACCCCGCGACCCACCCTGCGACCCACGCCGCGCCCGCCCCCTCTCTCTTATCCGCAACTGCGGGGTGCTGCGTGTGGGGGGGCACCACGCGGTGACGATGCCGCTGCCCCCATGGACCTCTCCCAGGGGGGCGCCGTGGCGAGGACTTCGCAGCGAATCGAGCGGTGGCGCCGACGGCCTCCCAGGAGAATCAAAAAAGGGGAGAACGAGTTTGGACGCCCGAAAGTGAAGGGGCCCAAGGACACACGGATAAATACACACAAATAAACATGTTCCTCATATTTTCCCAGATTTTCTGGGTAACTGTCTTCCCGCCCACTTCCAATATTTTCCCATATTTTCTGGGGAATCGAAGATTCATTGTGTCTGTGTGTTTCTTGTCCTCCTGAGAACTGGGTACGAATAAAAATGGGTACAATGCCCAACAACAAAGGCTGTCCCAAACCAATACTGGCCGCTGTTGGGCAAGCGGCCTCCTGTCTCAAATGGACACAGCCCGCGGCGACACCGACAGCGAGGCCTGTCCAGAATGAACAGGAAGTGCTGTTGGGCATTGTGCCCATTCCTTCAGTGACCATTTCGGGCGTCCAGAACGAGAGAAGGGGTGGCGGTCTGAGCACCTCTTCCCTGACCCGGACGTCTGCTCGCCTGCTCGTGCCCCCGCGGCTGCCGCCAGCCACCGCCGCTGCCGCACACGGGGCCCCCGCCGCCGCTGCCGCCGGCCGCCCCTCCCCACCGAGGGGGGCCTCCGTTCACTCGCAGACGGGCGCCACGAAGCGGGCGCGGTCTTGCCGCGCGCGGCACAGCAGCCAGCGAACGCCCTCGGGGGGGGGGGACCATATATAGATGTGTAGAAATCGGCAGCGGGCGAGTGGGGGAAGTGAGAAAGGGATGGCCTGCTCAGAAGGCTCGGAAGTTCCCCGGCCTTCTGAAGAGTTCTCGGGGCCTTCTTTGCCTTCTGAGAAGGCCTTCTCCTTCTCACTACCCCCCCTCGCCCGCCACCGAAGATAGGCACTCCAACTTTCGTAATGAAAGATGGGGGCCCAAACCCTTCCAGACGAGCAGTCTTAACCCCCCCGAGACCAGCCAGCGGCCCTTTGCCCAGACCACTGGAACCCTCCCAGACAACTCAAACCAGACCGCCCTCCCAATCAGACCACCACCAATCTACCGTGAAACCCGGAGTGGTCCCAAGCAGTGGCTGCACTCTGGCCTCCTTGCTTGGCGGCGCGCACAAGGGGGGTTGAGGGAGGGGGGCGGGCTTCTTAGAAGGAGGCTGCTTCTCAAAAGGCGCCTGCCTTACATCTGTAGATAAGGCCCGCGCCCTCTAAGAAGCAGGGGTGCTTCTCAGAAGCCCTCCCCCCTCCCCCCACCCCCCTTCAGCGTGTGACTGGCCTACGCCAGTTACTCAGACCTGGCTGTGTCTGGCGGGCGTTCGCCACGCTGCCGCCCCGCTGCCGCCCCGCTGCCGCTATCGTGCGCGATGGGTGGGCCCAGCGGGGCTCCGCCACCCGTTGCCGCCCGTTGCCGCCTCGCTGCCGCCTCCCGCGCTGGGCGGGCCCCGCGAGGTTTCACCACGTTGCCTCAAGTCGGGCGTGTCCCCCTACGGAGAACATGCCCCAAAAATAGTCACGAATAGCCAAACATAGCCAACAACTCGTCCCCGGATTTTGTTCTACTATGCTTGGAGCTGTCTCCCTGTAGAGGGACAGGCCCGACTGAAACGTTGCCCCCCCCTTGCCACTATGGCGCCGCCTCTAGCTTGCACCACGTGTACTGTACCACCTTGCTTATACCACATAGCTTACGTTGCTCCCATCGTACTTAAGGACCACATCCCAGAAACAATCTCGAGCACCGAGAAAAGTGTCGAAACAGTGTCGAACGAGTATCGCCTCTCAGGCAGGGCCCGACATGTTAACACCTTAAAGTTTCGGTACGTCCTTGGTGCTCGAAATTATATTTGGTGACCTAGGTTGGAACATCATAGCACGTAGCACGCACCCCCCACAGCTTGCACACCCACGGTGCAGTAACTTACTGCTTCAAGCCAACGCTGGGTAGCACACACATACACATACACACACGCACACACACGTGCGTACGTATCTATCTGTATCTGTATATATCGATATGGGGGAACAACAAACACCCAGATCTCACAGCAAACGTCATCGCACAGTGCGGCTATTTACTGCGGGACAGACGCGCGCGAGGCAGAGACCATTACCGACAACGGCCGACGATGCGTCCCCTTTTAGTCAGGGCCAGGCCACGGGCAATGGCATGCGTGCGGCCTTGCCCCCAACCCTCTCGCAGCATCTACCTGGCCTTCTCTGCAAGGTTTTCGAACGTGGACGGTTCGAGCGGCGCGTAATTAGCGAACGCCCATTCGGCGCATCGCGGGCGGCGGCGGTCGGAGAGGTACGCTACGCACCCAAGCCGCGACCGATAATGGGTGCCGCAGCATGGGCAAGTGCCCGAGCCGTCAATGTACGACTTGATGGCGAGTCTGTGGCCGCGTTTGGACCTACACTGTCTCGCCAGGGCACGCTCGGAAGGGAAACAAGCGTGGCAAGCTGCGCACTTGATATCAAGACCTCGCCCAACAGACGGGACGCCAGGCATCTCATGCGCCTGGCGGACGAGGGCGGACTCAACGAAAAAGAAGTGGCCCAGCACATTGCTCCATTTGGTAGGTGACTGTAGAAGATCGGGCCACTTCTCCTTACCACTGTACAAATGAAGGGAGCCGGGCAGCAGTCCAAGGGCACGGACGTGATCGGTGTCGGCTCGCACCAGCGCAAGCCAGGGCAGCTCGGGATCGTCGGCCCCCGCAAACAAAAGGCCCAACACCGCCTTGGGCCGTTTGCGGATCAGCCGGGCTATCTGGAGCACGCAGTCCAGCGACGGCATGTTCAGGGCCCTCCTCACCTCGAGGCTGCTCATCTCGACGTCCTTGGAATAACGCGGGTCGTCGGCGGTTCTCCTGAGAAACCTCATGTACACGCCGCTCAGCTTCTTCAGCGCCATCGGGTGCAGCAAGCACATGTGGAGGTTGAAAACGAGCCTCGACTGGACGAGGCTCCGCAGGAACACGAACTTCTACGGGCTCGGATTCATCCGGGAGCCGAATACCTTGTGCATTAGCGGCACGAAGGCCGACATGGCAGACTGGGAGCGGTGCACGGCGCTGCGGAACGACATGCCCTCAGCTGACAAGAACGTCACAAGGTGCCTGTAGGCGTCAACGATGTGCTATCCGCCGACCCT